CTTCAAATTAACCCCGCTAAAATCAGGAGTGCAAGGATTGAGGAAAACTATCTACAAGAGTGAAAGAATGAACTTTAATGACGATTGCGACAACAATAACATTACTATTGCCGCAACATTTATATATTCATTCCTTCATTCATTCAATCATTCATTTATTCATTCATTCCTTCATTCCTTCATTCATTCTTTCTTTCACATGAATTTATTATTTCTGGTTTTTATTTGATTATTCGAATTCAATTATGCCTTAGTTTATTCATTTTTTTCGTTCGAATTTAGATTAAGATTTATTGCCTATTCATTTTCACGCAGAAAATTGTTTTTATGTTTTATCTATTCATTTATTTATATTTTTAAAATTCAAGCATTAAATCCAAAAAATTCATACCCTCAAATTTTTTCGTTTTAAATTCAAAATTTTCAAAAATGTCCTCAAAATTTATAAACATTCCATAAAAATCTTACATAATTTCATTTTCTTGATGCCTCCAAGAGCTTAATAACCTGTCTTCGCCTTGATTTCTAAGGAGATTTCTAACTGTTTATGATTCGAGAAAAAAATTTTTAACACAGGTAAATAGAATAAAAAAATTTAGTAAACAATTTTTCGTTTCATTTATTTGTTAATTAATTAATTCATTCAGTCGTTCATTCATTCATTTATTCATTCATTCATTCATTTACTCATTCGTTCGTTCGTTTATTCATTCATTCATATATTTATTCATTTGTTTGACTTTTGTGAAGAGGTTTATGAAAATTTGGACCAAATGAAAGCAGTGGATACTGTGTACTTGGATTTTGCTAAAGCTTTCGATAAGGTTTCGATAAGGTAAAGCTTTCGATAAATATTCACATTTGGCCTAAAAATTAGAAGCAAGTGGAATCACAGGAAACACACTCAAGAGAATTTCTAATTGGTTACAAGATAGAAGGCAAATTGTTGGTATTGGTGGAAACTTTCCAAACTGGAGCAATGTCTTCTATCTACCACTTCGTCTGAGTTAGTTTGGCAGTCGATGACATACTCCAATCAAATACTTATTGTTTTTGCTCTTTATTTTGTCCCATACTATCTCCTTAAAATTGATATTACCTATACTGTCATTCCTGACATTGACATTCATGTTGTTATTAACGAATAGATTAACTGCTACTGCTTCATGTCCATGATTATTTTGATATTCTCTGTTTTTCCTAAATAACGTGTAACCATTGATACCAAATTCCCAGTCACACATGTACATGCCAAGATTCAGTTCTGTCGCTGGTTTTTCTTCTTCCACATATTGAGCTAACTCCTCCCTTTTGACATCTGACGTTGACATAAGATATTTTTAAAAACCTCTTAGTGATCTTCAATTGTTTTATCTTTGACTAAAATTATAAAAATCTTTTTCTCGATTTTGAAATTTTAATTTCTCCTAGTAGACCTTTTAAAAAAAGTTATGAAAAAGTTGTTTCAATAAGTTACTTTAAAAAAATGGCAATTGGAAATTTAAAATTACTATTACTACTATCAGTATTACTGCTTTTTTTCTGATAAACTAAATTCCACTGATACTAATAATATCAATAACAATAATAATAATAATATTTATTATTATTATTATTATTACTATAATAACTTCATATAGTATTAGCACTATTAAAAGCAGTCCAAATAAGAATATATAGAAATATCGCCACTAAAAATATCTACAATGAAAAAATTGTCGATTAAAAACAAATTAAAATAACAATAATAGTTGTAGTAGTAGTAGTTATAATAATAATAATAACAACAACAACAATAGGAATAATAACGAAAAAATAAAACAAAGATAGCAAAAAAAAAGTGAAAAAAATGAAGGACTTAAGAGTTTTTCAACCGAAATTAAATGCGAATTTTTTGCTTCTGATAAGTTGGACGTTTGGACACAAAAGTCCGGTAGATGGCAGATTTAAAATAATAATTTTTTTATTTATTTGAAAAATTATAAAATACTTTTTTGATATTTATTTCTTTGTTTCAATAATGTTGTTGCGATGTCAAGGAAATTGTGTTTTTATAAACAGCTGATGTTTGTTGTTGTTTTGTGGTTGTTGTTGATGCTGTTGAAGTGTTGGGGCGGTCATAGTTGTATTATTGTTGCGGGCATTGTTATCATTATTGTTATCGTGATTGTTGTTGATGTTGTTGATGTTAATGTTGTTGAGTTTGTTGTTATAATGTGAATGCTGTTTTTTTTCTGAGGTATTCAAGTTACGATTCAAGCTTGTAAAACCATTTTTCTATTTGTTTGTTGACGAGGTTTTTTGTCATTGTCATTACTGTTTTAATGTTAACAACTTTGTTCTCGCATTTTTCAATGTAAATTGTTTCTGGTATAAATATTGCCTATGTCGTCTTAGATTACATCAACATTGCATTAGACGCAATGTTAATGATACTGGTTTTGTTAATGTTTTTTATGTAATGTAACTTGTAGTTACTTCGCTGTGATTATCTTATAATCCACGATCGGAAGGAAAATTTTTCTAAAGAAGTGTTAAAAATAATTTCATTAACATTCCATTAGTCTAGTCTAAAATTTAAATAATAAAACAGCGTTGGTAATACTAAAGTATTCTTACTTAAAAATTTTTTTGAAGTGCAACCTTTTAAAAGCAGCAAGCACTAGAAATGTCGATTCGTAATGAAAATGTTTTTTTGCTTCATTACAAATTTTATTTCATTTATTCGAAAAAAATAATTATTTATTCATCATTTTTAAACTAATTTTGAAAAAATTTGTCAAATATTTTTAATTTGTCAATGCCAGATACATCTAAAAGAAATATTTTTGCCGACGTTTTTGACATGTCGAACAATAAAAAAAATAATTATTTTTGTGGATGCGTTGTAGTAGTAGCAGTAGTAGTAGCAGCAGAAAAATAAAAAAAAATTTCTTTTTAATGCGCAAAAGTTTATTGTGGAATTTTAAATTGATTTTAACGTTCAGCTAAAAGAAAATTATTCAAGCGTAAGCTAAAAATAAAAACTACAAAAACATGATAAACATTTTATTTGATAAAAGAACTTTGCGTCGTTGTTTTGCTTCAAAAATTCCAGTTTGAATATCTTCGTTGAGAACTTTTATTGAAAGCACGCGTTGGAGCATTATATATAAAATAATATATATATATTTATATTTATATATTTATTTATATATATATAATAAATCATTTTATAAAATATTAATGTTTGTTACATTAAATAACTCACTTGAAACTATAATAACAACAACAAATACAACGACAATAATAATAACAATAATAAAATTAATAATTACAAAAAAATACAGCCAGCTCAGACCGAAGACGGACAACAATTTCAACACTTTACAACAACAACAACAACAACAGCAACAACAACAACAAACAATTAAACATCGATGAAATAACATTGAAAATAACAATGGCATAATATTAATACATGATAGTTATTATGATATATAACAGTTGAAAGACATTTACAACTATCTTACGAATGGCTAAAATAAATAACATTTATTCATGACATTAACACCAAGCTATTTAACAACAGATTAAAACCAACATCAACAACGACAAAAACAACAAAACATGTGACGTAACATTGTCGTCATCAAAAAAAATGAATACCAGATAATAGATATTTAATGAATGGAATGACGTCATCAACAAACAAACAAATAACGAAATATTTTATTTCAAAAATAATTTAAAAAAAAACTCTAAACCACAATGAATAACATTTTTTTTAAATAACAACATCAATCAGAAACAAACTTAAAAAAAACCACATGGGTGAAACACTCAAAAACTTAAAACATCGGCTATCAATCACCTCAGAATAAATTACCTTATAATTAATGGGGTGAATGAAAGAAAACGGCGACGGCAAGAACAACAGCCATACGCTCATCGAAAAGACGACACACAACCACCTGACATCAACAATGAACCGCGTGACAACAACAAAAAAGTGATGACAACAACATACAACCACGTGGCATCAACAAACAATCACGTGACAGCAACAGACAATCACGTGACAGCAACAGACAATCACGTGACAGCAACAGACAATCACGTGACAGCAACAGACAATCACGTGACAACAACAAACTACGCAACATCAACAAACCACCAGGTGACAACAACAACACAACTACGCGTCAACAACGTCTAACCACGTGATATTTACACATCCATCATGACGTCAGAGAGCTATGACGAAAGTTTTCCACAATTTCCTTTCCTATTTCCGTTGGAGCAAGAGGATGCTGATCAAAATAATGACGGTCATTTATTGAACAATGACGATTATATCAAAGCAAGTCAATTATTTTTTTTTGATTGGTGGTTATGTCCCAATTCTCTAAAAAGAGTATTTATCCAGAAAACGTACAACAATTTTGTTATTTAAATTATTATTATTATTTATTATTTGTTGTATTATTTTTTAAATTTTTCAAAGAAACACCCAGCGGCTTACATAAAGCCACCCATCACTCACAGTACATCGCACGCGCCTGGCAAGAATCACTACGAATTCGAACACAGTGATGGCGAAAATTAAACCAGGCGCCGTAACCATTATGCTATCACACAGCCAACAATTATTATTATTATTACCAGTTGTAGTAGTAGTATTTTTCATATTATTATTAATATCGCCATTATTATTATTATTAATGTTTTTTACCCAAAGAAATTATTTTAGAAAGAAAGAATAAATAATATACTTTTTCTTGAAATTACAAAGACAAAATAATATTTTTTTGTATCACATTTTGTATTTATATCTGTATTATGATATTATGCTGGTCCACGCTGACGTCATAATAAATTGAGTTTGATAGGTGCGATTGCGTGCTGATGACGTTGGGGATGGCGGGAAAAACCCGAGACAAATAAACAAGGAAATAAGATCTAATACATATAACTAGAATAAATAACAAAATTAATAACAAAATAATAATGATCTAATAACAAAATTTATGGCAAGCTAATATAATATTTCATATTTTTAAATAATTCAAAAAAATAATCAGAAAGAATATTTTTTAATTTATCAAAATTGAAATTATTAAAAGTTTGTTTTTCAAACCATTTTATAAATATAAAAATAACTAAAAATTGTTTTTCTAAACATTTTCGAAATTTAAAACTATTTAAATTTTTAGTACCTCAAAACATTTCAAACTTTAAAAAAAAATTTATATTATTATTTGACTGCCATGTATTAAAATTATTTATTGATTTTTTGACGATAAAAATATGATACATGATTAATAATAACATAAATAATATTAAATGAAGATAATAATAACAATAAGCAATAAATAGACATAAAAATAGAGGTATGGGAATTCATGCTAATGTAACAAATGCTTCTATTGGATTACATGCCAGTTCAACCAAACGAACTCTATCCATATTTTTATTGGTTATTTTATATATTTAGCAACAAAGCCATGAAAATAAATAAAAAAATGAATGAAAGAGTGAGTGAATGAAGGAATGAATAAATGGATGAAAAAATGAATGAATGGATGAATAAATGGAGGGTGATGGGTGGTGGGATTTTGATGGATAGGTGGTGAATAAAAAGATTGGTGGATGGATAGATTAATTAATAAATGAACGAGTGGTAACACGAATGAATAAATGAATGACAAATGAATGAATGAACAAACAAACGAATGAATGAATGGATGGATGGATGGATGGATGGATGGATGGATGGATGGATGGATGGATGGATGGATGGATGGATGGATGGATGGATGGATGGATGGATGGATGGATGGATGGATGGATGGATGGATGGATGGATGGATGGATGGAATCAACTGATTAATTTATATTAGAGCAAAAAATAACTCAACTTAGCATAGGAAATATTTTTTCTAATGAGATTATTTTGCGTGGTGAAAATGACAAGCTTCCACAAATCCCATAAAAACAGACTAATTCGAAAGTGGTCTATTCAAACTTAATTGCCCTTTTAAATCTTGAAATCTGAAAAAACAATGTCAGTGAGTATATGAATGAATCAGTGTATGATGAATAAATAAACGAACGAATGCTAGAACGAACGAACGAAGGGATGAACGAACGAACGAACGAACGAACGAACGAATAAATAAATAGATGAACTAAATCGTTGAGTAAATGTTATAAAGTTAAACTCTTAAAAAACAATGCAATGCGTCTGAATGTTGTATACAATTAAAAAGCGAGAACTACGAATGCCGGCGATGAAACTTCCAAATTATTTTGATTGCCTTTATTTATATTTTTTTAATTCATTCAAATTGGAATACAAAATTTTAAAATGTCAAAACAGATGAAATTAAGTAAAAAGCGAAAAGATGGAAAATTTAAAAAGACGAATGACGAAAACCTTCCAAAAAAGTTTTAAATTGCACATTCTCTCGTTTTAGTTGCGAAAAAATTGAACTAATAGAAAAAAAATTACATTAATAATAACATAACAACAACACAACAACAACAAAATAACAATAAAATAACTTCATAATTTTAAAAATAAAAAAAGTTCATGAAAAAGTTATTCCAGTGAATTTCATTCATTTATACGTTCAATTAACTTTAACATTTTTAAATGCCCTCTTAAGTAACTCAGAATTTTGTACAATTTAAATTTTTATCATAAAAATTGATCAAACCATTTTTTATAAATGCTTCGAAGGCAAAAGAAAATTGCACCTTTTTAAATCCACTCGACCAAGATGCGCAATTCTAATTACGAGCCCAAGCTTCTTAAATTTTTGGCATTATGTAGTTATCAAGAAATAATTGCCCTACTTCAATAAGTTCGATTAAAATTTATCCAATTAATTGTTTTTGTGCAATAATTAGGAAACAATATTTAATTTAAACTGCAAATTAATTGCAAACCAATGAAACATTTTATGCTGTTAACTTAATGCGTTACATCTTCATAATAATGAAATGTTGCCACAAACACAGCAATACGTGGTGGACCTTGTGAACGAAGCCATCAACGAAAGTAACTATCGCAGCCACCCCTACGACAAGTACAACCACCGATTCTACCATTCGAAACTTGACTGGTACCACATCGTTTGGCCACTGTTGTTCCTCACAGGCCTTATCGGGAATGCGCTCTCAGTAGCTGTTTTCAGCCGACGAGCGATGCGAACCGGTCCGTCGTCAGTTTACTTACTGACGCTGGCTGTCAGTGACTCTCTAGTTTTGTTGTTCAGCTGTTTGAAAAGCTGGGTAGCAATGGTTTTTGGCGTAGAGTTGATGCACTACAGTTTGCAGTTCTGTCGCTTCTTTCGTTACTGCTTCTACACGTCTTCGCATTTGTCGGCCTGGTTAGTTGTGCTGGTAACCACTGAACGGCTCTTGGTGGTCTTCTGGCCGCTACGAACCAACAGCTGGTGGTTGGTGAAGAAGCCTGGATGGACGACACTAATTCTTGTGACCACCATCGCCACTGCCAACGTTAACGTGGCGCTGAATTCAAAATACTCCGCATTCAAAGTTCCCAACGATTTGAAATTCCTGAATGATATTAGCATTCAGATTGACAAGCTCAATGCAACTTATCTATCGAAATTTTTGGAAAATGCCCTAGAGCCATACTTTGATAAAGATGATGACGTCAACGATGACACCAACGACTACATCAACCATGAAATCGAATGCAACATTGAGAGATTAAGTGCTAAGCATTTTCAAATTGAAGAAAAAAATATACTGAGAAACAACCGCAGCAAAACGTCTGAAAAATGTTTTCTAAACCACAACAACAACAACAACTTCAACAACAACTTCAACAACAACAGCAAGAAGAGTTACAACCCAAGCAACTTGGAAATGTTGAAATTGTTGTACGCATCACTGATGCACAGCCAGCATCATAATCATCACCACTATCATAATCATCACCACTATCATAATCATCACCAACGTCATAATCACCTTCATCATTATCACAACGTCACATCACTTTTCGACTATTACGACTACCACAAAATCTGCACCGACGAAAGACACGGCTTCGCGGCCGAGTTCAACATCGTCGTCTACTCCATCCTTCCATCATTGATCGTCCTCATCTTCAATCTCGCCATCATCAAAGCCATTTTTGCAGTCACTTCTCTTGCGTTTTTTCATCGCATCAGTGGCAATGCAAACGAAATTGGTGGTGATGGTGCTGCAGCTGCTGGAGGTGGAGGTGGTCAATGTCGCCATGTCGGCCGAACATGTGAACAAATGCGTATGCGCCGAGTAAGTGAGATTCATCATAGCGTTAAGAACGAGTGTCATCTGCAATGTCATAACGAGAAGAACGGAATCAACAACAACAACAACAGAAGCAGCAACAACAACAATAGCAGCAGTGGCAACAACAACAGTAACAGTAACAACAGTAACAGTAACAACAATGCGGATAATAATGGTAGTAACAACAATGGTAACAATGATATCAACATAAATCATTATAACAGCAGCGCCAGTAGTAGCAGTAGTAGCGCAAACAACAACTTCAACTACAACGACGACAAAAACGCTATTGAGGAAAAAAATGTAGCTCAAAATTTATTCTCAATTTCGATAAAAAAATGTAAGCTAGACAGCAGCAGTAACAGCAACAAAAATAGTAGCAGTAGTGGGAGCAGCTGCCAAAGCAACCATAGCAACAGCAATCCAGCCTGCAGTCGGTGTGGTTGCGAGGACAGCTTCAAAGTCGGTTCAAAGATTGGTTTGGTTCTGACAAAAATTAAAGAACCGTTTAATTTGAAAAACAGAAGTGGCACCAACAACTCAGTCAGCAACAACGTCGATGAGAGGATCTTTAAATCCAAACTTTCTCAGCAGGAACCTCTCTCAAGCTGGAAATCATTTTCTGTTTTTCAGCTTAAACAAAAGCCGCAAATAAAAAATCAACAACAAGCACAACAACAACAACAACAAACACAACTACCACAAATACAACATGGCTACGAAAACAAAGTAGTTGCCGACGTTTCGCCTTGCAAAATATCAAAGCTTAAATCAACATCTGGTTTCAAATGTTCTAACAACAACAACAATAAAATTACTTTAAACATCAACCTTAACGACAACACTAACTATAGACAACATCAGTTCAGCGATAAAACCCATTATTACAGCAACAACATTTTCAACAAAAGACAAAACAATTGTCAGAGCAAGAAAAATAATTTAATCTATAAGGGTATTGGACCAGTTGGAAACCACATACCGACGCATCAAAATATAAACAAGGCAAATCTTCAGCTCAACAACAGCACTCCAATCACAACCACCACTAACAACAACAACTTGAACATCCGACCGATAAAAAGCTCGTTACTGCCGCCACAATCATCGCGAACTCAGCGTCAACATCGACCACGAGTGGCGTTCGCCTGCGACAATAAATCAGCACGCAGCAACCCGTTCCGTCAGACGACTTACTGCAGGAGACTACGCGAGAACAGTCAGCGAAAACTGACCATCACCTTGCTGGCAGTCTCCTTCCTCTGGCTGCTGCTCTCCCTGCCCTACTCTCTCGCTGATGTTTACATGGGAGGCAGGCCTCAAAAGGTCCTTTAACGATTTTTACGTAACTTCAATTTATCCGTTTGTTTTCATGTATCTTCGTTCTTTTGAAGTTTTAAACAAAAAAAATACAAAATCTCCAAATAAGCTCAAGTCAAAAGTTTCATTTTCTGTTTTCAAACATTTTTGCCTTACAAATGAGTTTTGTAAACCCTGCAAAAACTTCGCAATCCTCGGGCGAACGACAAATGCATGCAGCAACCTTCCTACGACAGATGCATGCAGCAACCTTCCTACGACAGATGCATGCAGCAACCTTCCTACAGACAGATGCATGCAGCAACCTTCCTACGACAGATGCATGCATGTTGTTCGTGGGCTCTGATCCATCTCTTTCATCATCTTTTCTCTTGATTAATCGCCAGCTAACTAACGCTAATGTCATCTTCTCACGATCCGCCATTTAACTTTTCTCTGAAGATAAATGTTGATGACTTGATCTCGAATCTCGACGCATGTCATGCGCGGTAAAAAATTAAAAAATAATGTCTAAATGAAATAAATACCTACGCATGCATCTTTGTTACTGCGGTCGCCTTGCAAACCGGAAACACATGACGAAGATTTTTTTGAAAGTAATAACAACGGGCATGCGTACCTTTACAAACAAGTGTCTGTCATTCATTCATTCATTCATTCATTCATCCATTCATTCATTCATTCATTCATTCATTCATTCATTCATTCATTCATTCATTCATTCATTCATTCATTCATTCATTCATTTTTTTTCTTTCTTTCTTGAACATGCCCGTTCAACTGACATCAACAAAAATAATAAAAACAACAACAGCAGAAGCAAAGCAAAAACAACAACAATAATAACAACAATAATAATAACAACGAACACTCCCGCCCCGCAGAGGTCAACACGGATCGCGACCTTCACCTTGCTCTACGTGAACCACGCCATCAACTTCTACATCTACTGCCTACTCCGCAAGAAGTTCAGAGTGGAGTTGAAAAGGTGGATGTGATGGTGACGATGGTGGTGGCGGTGGTTGTGACAATACTGATGATGATGGTGGTGGTGGTGGTTGTGACAATACTGATGATGATGATGGTGGTGGTTGTGGTGTGATGGTGACGGGGGTGGTGGTGGTGACAATACTGATGATGATGATGGTGGTAGTGATAATGATGGCAGTGATGACGGCCTTGATAGTGATGATGAAGACGATGATGACGGCAAAAAACGACGACGACGATGATGATGATGATAAAGGTTAAAAGGTTAAAGGTTACTCTCTCTCTCTCTCTCTCTCTCTCTTGCGTTTGCTTCAGAGGTTTCAACGACAAACACACACAGCGTACATGAATACGCGTGCAAACCACGCATCATGCACATCTCATATGATAGGCGGGGATCTCTTTGTATTCGAACCCAGTCACTGCTGCAGCAAGATCAGGCGCCTTTAACCATTGAGCCATCACGCCGATGGTGATGATGATGGTGATGAGGGCTAAGTTTATTTTTAATGATTCAAAATTACAGAAATAAAAAAGCCAAAGTGACGTCATTAGTGTGGCGTTAATATTTCACACCACACGTCCAGCACATTTCTTTCCATCCAATTTTCTTCTATTATCATCATCATCGTCGTGGTCGTCGTCGTCATCATCATCATCATCATCATCGTTATCATCACTATCACCATCATCATCATCATCATCATCATTACCAAGATCGTCTCAAACATTGTTATCAGTAACATACCAGAATCCTCAAAATCATAATAATTTAATAATGTTAATAATAATAATCATCATCATTATTATCATTTTAATTCTTTGCAGCATAATTAGCCTATTTGAGCATAATTCACGTATGCATGCTGCAAAAAGAACTATTAGTTTTTAATGACGTCATGGCCATCATCATCATCACCATCATCGTTGTCGTCACCATCATCATCATCATCATCATCATCCCCATCATCATCATTATCGTCCTCATCATAATCATCGCCATTCCCATCTCTATCATCGTCATCATATTACCATCATTACCGTCATCACCATTATCATCATCACCATCATCACCATCATCATCACCATCATCATCATCATCATCATCATCATTACCATCATCATCATTATCATCATCATCATCATCCTAAACGACAGATTGATGTCCACAAATAGACGCTGCAATATCCGCCTCATGTGCTTCAAACTGCGTAGGCGTTTAAATGATATTTTAACAATGTCATCAACGAACTCAAACAACAACAACAACAACAACAACAACAATAATAATAATAATAATAATAGAAGTGAAAGTACTTTCAGGTTAGTGAAAATGATTATGAAAGCTTCTCTGACGATGGTGGTCGTCATCGTCACCCTAGCCGTCATCATCATGAGGTGTGATGACTGCGCTGGTGGTGCTGATGACGATGGTGGTGGCTTTGGTGGGAAAAATGACAACAACACCAGGAATCACAGCAAGAATAATATTAATAAAATGACAAGCAACATAATAATAATAACTATAGTACAATTTTCAATTATAATATTATCCGTGCTGGCTGATAATAATGATAATGGATGATGGTAATGGATGATAATTATATATATATATATATATATATATATATATATATATATAGGGTAAGTTTAGTGAACTGGAAAAAACTGCTTAATCGTTTATTGTGCGTAAGTATAGTAGATATTTATTATTATTATTATTATTATTATTATTCTTTTCTTAATAATTTATTGTTATTATTATTACTATTATTGTCGTTATTATTATTGTATTTATTATTATTATTATCATTATTATTATAATTATTATTATTATTATTGTTATTAGTATTACTATGGTTTTTTCAATTTTTCAGTTAAAATATTCCATCTATTTTTTTCAGCCCGTGCAAACCAATCGAAGCGACAAATCAAATAATCAATCACATTGCGCGCGCGCGAACACACACATTCGCACACACACACACGCACACACACACATTCGCACACACACACACACGCACACACGCTGTACACGCACACGCACGTACAAAAACAAATATATATACATACGCATACATTAAATGGAAAAAGAGATATGAAGCAAATGAAAAAAATACGAAAGAATTTAAAATAAGTAAAGTGAAGTAATAAAAGAAGAACGATAGAGAGAGAAAGAGAGAGAGAGAAAGAGAGAGGGAGAGAGAGTGAGAGTGAGTGAAAGAGAGAGAAGAAAGAGAAAAACAGAAATAGAAAGAGAGAAAAAGAAAGAAAAAAAGAAGAAGTAAAGATGACAACGGAGATAGAAAAAAGAGTACTGTGTAAAAAATGAGAAAAAAAAACTTTGAAAAAACACGAAGGAATAATGAAAAAGAAAAACTAAATGAATTTCTATTGCCTAGTTAGCATGATAATCCTTTTGGCACTACCTGTGGTTGCTGGTTGCTGGTTGGTTGTTGCTGGTTGCTGGTTGGTTGTTGCTGGTTGGTTGTTGTTGGTTGCTGGTTGCTGGTTAGTTGTGGCTGGTTGGTGGTTGGTTGTTGCTGGTTGCTGGTTGTTGGTTGGTTGTTGCTGGTTGGTTGTTGTTGGTTGCTGGTTAGTTGTTGCTGGTTGGTGGTTGGTTGTTGCTGATTGCTGGTTAGTTGTTGCAGGTCGGTGGTTGGTTGTTGCTGGTTGGTGGTTGCTGGGTGGTTGTTGCTGGTTGCTGGTTGGTTGTTGGTTGTTGCTGGTTGGTGGTTGCTGGGTGGTTGTTGCTAGTTGGTTGGTTGCTGACTTGTGGTTGCTGGTTGGTGTTTGTTTTTTTGAAGATGATGTTGATGTTGATGATGTGGTTGATGTAATGATGGCGAGGATGGTGACAATAACGTTATGATGATGTTATTGTTGCGAGCGATGTTTTAGTTGCTGTCAGAAATATTTTCAAGTACTTTTCCTTAAATACAAGTAAGTATTCAGGTCCTGTGTACAAGTACCGAAATTTTTTGTTCCGAGTACCTGCAACATCTCAAATAAAAATGCTATAGTTCAACTACATGTATCTACACCTCAGTTATGTGTTCTATAGTTTAAGTAGGCTACAAGTAGTCAGGTTTCAAGTACAAATACCAAAAAAAAAGTTATTTCTAATTATATACAAACAAACACGCAAAGACAAGCAAACATTTAAAATGCATGTGTAATAAAAACTTGTGTGATTATGCTTGCATGCACTCCACACGCTGACACATTTTGTGAAACAATATTCCCAATCTGTGCACTTGGTGTTGAGTCTTGGCGTCTGGTCATTCGAAAGTAATTTAGATATAATCAAGACTGTCACATCATTCAGGTGGTCCAAGCGATACAATCCTAATTCTTCACTCTTCAAATCATTTCACACGTATACAATCGTCTATTAAATAACACGCACTAACATGCAGGTTCACGGGTAGACAATTAAATGTACAATGTGCCAACGTAGTCACACATGCGTGTATGTTAAAACTTGGATGACTTGAAATTCTGCTCAAATCTGAAATCTGGCTCAATTTTAACCAAACCGAATTTGGAGAAAAATGGCCGAAATCTACAAACAAAATATTAGTCTCCTTGAAATGTTTAACTCTAATTTTTGTAAAGTACTTGCACGTTGTACTTGAAAACTTTCGTGTACAAGTATGAGTGCATTGTAAAATAACAAGTACAAGTACTTGGAATTGGTGTATAAGTAGCAAGTACAGGTAGCACATCCCTGGACGTTGTTGTTGTTGCTATTGATATTGTTGTTGTTGTGGTTGTTGTTGTGGTTGTTATTTGTGATTTTAATGTAGTTTTTGTTGCTGTTTTTTCTTTGCATCACATGTCTGCCGGTAAATTACCAAATAGAGATTTTTAAACTTTCAGTGTGGATGAATAATGAATTTGAAGTTTTTTTTTAATTTCCACGAGATAGCAAAGCGAAGTGAATAAAAAATTTCTTTAAAAACTAGCATTGAAATTGATGAGTACAATAGCTGGAAACTAGTTGTTAGTGAATAAAAAGCCAAGTGAAACGCCACTGAAAGGCAGGAAAAATACAATGCAAGTTGCAAAATTAATTTGCTATTCAACTCAGCTCACGTTAGCGCTATGTTTTAAAGAAGCAGTTTATATTCATAATTGCTTGGTTGTATGGCTTTTCAGGAAGTACTATACACACACACGCACACACACACACACACACGCACGCACGCACACGCCAACACACACACACACACGCACGCACAAACGTTTTGGTAAATACTTCATAATTTCAAATCGTGTTTATCGATCATTCTCAAACATCTCCCGTACAGCTTCATCGTTTTTACGTCACGCGTCCACATTGAGGTGATTATTGTTGCGATACATTGGCACAGTGGTTTCTATATGTGATTGTGTGTGTTGGTTTGTTTGTGTGTGTGTGTGTCTTTCTGTGAATGTGTTTATCTCTATATATGTGTGTTTGTGTGTGTGTGTGTGTACGTGCTTGTGAATGTGTGTATGACGCATTCGTGTAATTTGTTTGTCTCTTCTTGTGCACGTGTGTGTACATGCGTACTATGTTTTTTTTCTCATTTCGAGATAACTATTTAATATAAAAATATTTGAGGCGTATGGCATTTTCAACAATTTGTTCATGCTTTGACTTTCTCTCATTTTTTATTTTTCAATTTTTTTGGTTTAAAACTTTGCTTAGTTTTTTCTCTCAGACAGACGTGTTGATGAGTGGTCTGAAGGCGGGGGATGTTGTCAACTTCAACAGCGTTTGTGTAGTATCTCAACAACTTTTGTTTAGTACCTCAACAGCTTTTCTTTTGTATATCAACAACTCTTTTCTTTTGTATCTCAACAATTTTAGTTTTGTATCTCAACAACTCTTTTCTTTTGTATCTCAACTATTTTAGTTTTGTATCTCAACAACTTTTTTTGTAACTCGACAACTTTTGTTTTGTATCTCAACAACCTTTGTTTGTATCTCAACAACTTTTTTTGTATCTCAACAACTTTTGTTTTGTATTTCAACAATTTTAGTTTTGTATCTCGACGATTTATGTTTTGTATCTCAACAACTTTTGTTTTGTCTCTTCCACACACACAAACATTGATTCCCGTGTTTAGCCAACGGACAATTTGAGTTATAATAATAATTTGTCATGAATTAGGATAGTATATCGGATATATTATTTAAGTTAGAGCGTGCTGATTGTTTTTTTATATCAAACACTCATTTATATTTTCTAGCTTTATTTATTTACAAATTCGTGTGTATTCTTTTTTTCTGTTTGTAATTTTGGGTTTTTATAAACCTTTAAAAAAAAATGAATGAATAAACATGTGTGTATGTGATTGTTTGTTGTATGTGTGTGTATGTGTGAGTGTGTGTGTGTGTGTGTGTGTGTGTGTGTGTGTGTGTGTGTGTGTGTGTGTGTGTGTGTGTGAATAAACTAAATACTTCATATAACATCTAACTTAGAATAAATATGTATGCGTGTGTCTCTCTGTCTGTCTGTGTGTTGTTGTGTGCGTGTGGAAGTGTTTTGCATATTCGTCTATATATATTTATATGTATGTACATAATATATCATAATGTATCTACTTATTTACATCGTTACATTTTTGTGAAATTATCTTAACGCTAATGTATTTGTGTCTAGTATTAATAATTTAATAGTATAATTACATTTAGTAGTAGTAGTACTAGTGGTAGTTAAAGTAGCAGCAGCTTCAGTGACTGTTGTAGTATGAGAAGCAGCGACAAAAGCGGTTGTAGGAGCTTGTTTTAAGATTTAAACGAAATTGGTTATTGCTATTATGGTAAAATTGATGGGACTAACTTGTTTCGTTAAGGAAGAGTAGTCTCGGATGCTTCTACGTAAGTACTGCATTATGTTCGATGGTCCATTCCATTTTTTTTTCAGATTTTCATATTAATGTGTAAAAAAAATTATAAAAAAAAACTTACAGACACAAGACGAGACACACACACACACAAGACAAACACACAAACACACCACACACTCAAACACGCTCACACTTACATAACACACACTCACACACACATATATATCTATTTATAATATTTATATGGCACATATATAATTTATTTATTCATATTATTCACATTTGTAATTTGTCCAGCCACTGTCAATGATTAATAAATGATCGTTTATATGTTTATGTGTATGCTGGTCGTACACACGTAAACGGATAAACACACCCACACACACACACACACACACACACACACAAATACACTTACAGGTACACGCACACAAACAAACACACACATATAAACACGCATACACAAACACACAGACACACAAACAGACATGCTTAAAGAAGCGTGCCTCCTCGTCAAGTAGAAAGGGCGACGTAATTTTTTTCGGTTGTGTTCCTTAGTAATGTCAATTCATTTAATCCTATTAATTTAGTATTATTTAATTTATATATATATAAATTAAATAATATATAAATATATATATATATATATATATATATATATATATGTTCATTTATTTTATTGATATAATTTGTTAATTAATTTGTCTGATCGGATTTATTTAGCAATAGTGTTTTTACTTTGTGAATGTAGAAGTAATAGTGTAATGGAAGAAGTAATGGTGGTTAGAGTTATAGAAGTAGTATAAGTAGTAGTAGTAGTAACAGTAGTAGTAGTAATAGTAGTAGTAGAATAAGTAGTAGTAGAATAAGTAGTAGTAGTAATAATAGTAGTAGTAGTAGTAATAGTAGTAGTAGTAGCAATAGTAGTAGAAAATAGTAGTAGTAGTAGTAGTAGTAGTAGTAGTAGTAGTAGTAGTAGTAGTAGTAGTAGTAGTAGTAGTAGCATTAATAGTAGTAGTAGTAGTAGTAGTAGTAGAAGTAGTAGTAGTAGTAGTAGTAGTAGTAAAAGTAGCAGTGGTAGTAGTAGTAGTAGTGGCAATAGTAAAATTAAGGCTGATAAAGAGACAGACTTATAAGGGGGATGATGAGAGATTGCATTGACGAAAATTCCTCCTTTCTCCAGCCTAATCCTATTAGAACAATTTTTTTTTATCGTCAATTTAATTGGACAAAAATAAAGCAACGTTAAGTTGTGGTTTTAAGTCTTATGGCTTTTTGAAATTTACAAAGAAATGAAGCCGGTTTGTGAGCAATTTAATTCTTTGAATTGTAATTACATAACTTTTTTAGATTTAGTTTTCAATACAGACGATTTATTTGTTTGTTTTATTGCCATAAACTAGTTTTCACTTTTTTTTTCATTCATATAAGTTTTAATTTTGATTTTTGTAGATTTTAATTTGTTGTGTTAAATTTATGTCTGTCTGCCTCACATTTTTGAAGATAATGATGGTGGTAAACTCGTTTATAAATTAGCAACACAACATTTATGTATGTGTAAATATATACACATGTGTGCGTGTGCGTGTGTGTGTTTGTTTGTTTGTGCGTGTTTGTATGTACGTGTGTATGTGCGTGTGTGCGTATATACCGTGTAATATTTATATCAATTATTCATTTTCTTGTGTGCATTAATATAAGTGGCGTAACTATAATGTATTTTTTCTGAGTTATAATAAAAATAATAATAATAATAATATAGAGTTTATATATTTATTGTTGTTGCGTCATTTATATTGGTGAAGATGATGGTGAAAGTGATGATGACGGTGATGATAATGATAGTGATGATGATGGTGCTGACGATGATAATGATAATAGTGGTGATGATGATGAGGATGATAGTAGTGATGATGATGGTGATGATGATGGTGATGATGATGGTGATGATGATGATGACGATGATGATGATGTTAAAATAGATAGTCAAGTTGTGACATTAGAAGTCTCGGACACCATTTAAAACGTGCCGTGAAATTTTATTTAAAAAAAAAAGAATTTTATATCATGAAAGCTAATAATGACAATAACAACAACAATAATAATAACAAATATTAATTAATACTTAAAATATTATTAAATAAATGTTTTTTTGCCAAATATTGATTATTTTTAAACAAAACACGTGAAAATTAAACAAAGAGGACTAGAAGAATAGCTATACAGAGCGGAAATCATCGTCAGATAGCATTGTAATTTTACTAAAATCGTTTCGTTGACGTTACGAATGTCATTGTAATGATGGCAAATGTAAAAATGGTTAGTGTAATTATGGCGACTGTAATCTAATTAAAATAATTACAGTTGAAGAATTAATGTTACAATTATAATTATTTTTTACACGTTTTAAAATCAAATTTCGACCACAATTAGGCAATAATAATAATAATAATAATAATAATAATAATAATTATTATTATTATTATTATTATTGTAATCAACAATAATAATACTTATTATTATTAATTAATTTATAATAAATTATTAATAATAATCATTATAATTGAGAACGGGTGAATTATTTTATCGCATGATGACGTCACTGTAAAAAATTTCCGATGTCTAGATGGCCCTCTGGCGAGATGGGCTGAAGTGGATAGGCCGCTGGGCAGTTCCCTGGACAGTTTGGTGTTTGCCACGTGTGGACGCTGGTGTCTGTGGCTGTTGTCGTCGTTGTTGTGGCTGTTGTCGTTGTCGTCATTGTTGCTGTTCATGTTGTTGTCATTGATGTTTTTCATGCTTTTTTCGTTGAAACTTTTTCCATTGTTAATGTCGTTGTTGTTGATGTTGTCGTTGTTGTTCCTGTTGTCTGTGTTGTTGTTGTTATCGTCTAACTCGTTGTTGTTTAAACTAGCGAACGTGTGTCTGTAGCTGGCGATGTTGTTCATTTTATTTTCGTTTTTGTTGTTGTGATGATGCAGATGGCTGTCGAGATGAATCAAACTTTTCTGCCTCTCACCTACGACGAAAAATGTCACATCGTAAAAAATTTCCTGAAATTTCATTCTTACAGTCACAACAACAAAGTTACAATGGCTGACTTTATTGCCGGTTTTGTTTGCTAGAACGAAAACATTGGTTACTAATTCAAAAGTAACTATTTCTATAACTGATTACTAAAAAAATTTACTTCAAAATCACTGTAATTACTTCAAAAGTATCTAACCTCACTCTAGCAAACTGCTTACAACATTTTTCTTATTTCTGTTACTCCATCATAGTACGAGAGAAAATAAAAGTAATTTGTACTATGGCATAATTATTGAAAAAAATTTGAAATCCGCGAAAAATTAAAAATTAAAAAATTCTGAAAACCACAAATGTTTTTGATACTAACAGTATCATTAACTGTATTTGATAACTTTTATACCAAATTATCCAGCTAGTTAAATGCTCATTGATAACGAGATTAATTATAAAATAATAAACACTTAGTAATTCTTGAAAGGACAGTGAGTACTAGGTAGAAAGTTACAACATATTTCTCTACCCAAATGAATTCAAAATGAATTTTTTGCCGGTAACATTAGTACCGTTGCCAGGATTATTCTTACTTCCAAAACTGTACTTTTACTTAAATCGGTGATAAAAAAAAACACTTTTTATTTCAGCCACTGCTGCTACTACTACTACCACTACTGCCACTACTACTATTACTGCTACTACTACTATAACTACTACTACTACTACTACTACTACTACTACTACTACTACTACTACTACTACTACTACAATTACTACTACTACTACTACAATTATTTCTACTACTACTACTACTACTACTACCACTACCACCAAAAATGCTACTTATGATGCTACTACTACTATTACTGCTATTACTACTACTAATAATAATAATATTGATAGTTGTACTATTACTACTACTACTACTGCTACTACTTTTAATTTTAACTGTTTTTAAGTAATACTACTTCTAGCACTAATAATGCTATTAACGTTATCACTACTACTAGTTCGATATCCAATTACTAATTCTATTATTATTATTATTATTATTATTATTATTATTATTATTATAATGTGAAATGAATCATTTTATAATGTGAAATGAATCATTTTTAAACTCTGGTCGTACTCACTCGACTCGAATGATGAGCTTCTTAGATTAATACTCTATTTATTGCATTTGACACTTTATTTTATTTATTTCAATATTTTATTTTACTTGTACTGTGATTTTCATTTATTTTTTATTGCTGAATAAAAGATCGTTCTCATTATCATTATCATTACTATTATTATTATTATTGTTATTATTATTATTGTTTTTATTAGAAAACTTGTATAGCGCCCTTTAATATTTTTCAATGGCGCTAAACCTCCCATCCCAACACATTTACTAGCACATCCCTACTAACGTGGATGTAATTTGACATCTGCACTGCTGACGGAAACGACATTTTCAACGACGAGTGTGAACTTGGCGAAGTAGTGCCTGGAGGGAACTATTTGGCGGATGAATAGCTGGACGAGTTGTGATGTGGCCGACTGAGGCTGTTGTGGTAATGATTGTCGTTGTTGTGGTAGTAGTGGTAGTGACGGTGATGACAGTAGTTGTGATGAGGAAGATGATGATGGTTCTACGTTAATGATAATGATGATGGTCCTATGTTAATGATGACGATGATAATCCTATGTTTATGACGACGACGATGATGATTGGAGGGTTATTACCAAAGAACGATGATAATGATGATGATGATGAAAAAAAAGAAGATGATGATGATGTTGATGATGATGATGATGACGAGGATAATAAATGATGATGATGATGATTTTACACGGTGATAAAGGATAATAATGACGTTGTTACACTAATGGTGATGATGACAATAAGAAGATGATGGTGATGATGACGATAGGAAGAGAATGATGGTGATGACGATAGGAAGAGAATGATGGTGATGACGATAGGAAGAGAATGATGGTGATAATGACAATCGGAAGAGTATGAAGTAGGAAAATGAAATGAAGGAATATTCTAGACGGTACTGGTGCTTGACAAACACAATCACATTACATAAATCTATTTGATTGTACGTGAAGTAATAATAATTTTTTGAACCAAGAATATTATGAAAGCTAAAGATAACGAATATTATTCCGTATCCAAAAAAAATAAATTCAAATTGGCTAAAGCAAAGTTATTTGACTTTATAATTTTTAATGTTTTCTTTTTTATAACCAGTCCATCATATGAAATTATTCAAATCTACTCAAAATTATTCATGAATTAATCAAAATAATTTAAAAGTATTTGTAATTTTTCAAAATTATTCAAAATTATTTAAAATTTTCACAAACAAACCAACGATACGGTCCAAAGACCATTCCTTATCTGCCCCTCTTGTAGCGTACTCCCTGTGCTATCCACCACCCAGAACATGGTGGTGGGGGTGGGTTTGCACGTAACCAAACATTTGAGGGCAACGTTTTTCTCGTCTGGATAGGCCCTGTTGTCTTCGCAGATAATTTTTGGCGCATCTATAAACAAAATGGTGAAAATAGATGATGGTAAAATGTTGGTGAAAGAGATGATGATGAAATGTTGGTGAAAGAGATGATGATGAAATGTTGGTGAAAGAGATGATGATGAAATGTTGGTGAAAGAGATGATGATGAAATGTTGGTGAAAGAGATGATGATGAAATGTTGGTGAAAGAGATGATGATGAAATGTTGGTGAAAGAGATGATGATGAAATGTTGGTGAAAGAGATGATGATGAAATGTTGGTGAAAGAGATGATGATGAAATGTTGGCATAAAGGTAGATTCTATTTCAAAATGATGAATCCATATATTAACTATCAACAAAGAACAAAAATGTTAATGATATTATTACTCAGCTACACTTACAAGCTTATAAAGCAGCAGTATTACTAATTATAATTACATTAAGTAATTTGTTAGTAATTTACTAAAAAGGAATATTAGCCTGTTTATTGATTAAATAAGTCGACATTAAAAATTCATCAACAGATTCAACTGCAACGTATCACTTGATCAAAGAAAACCACAGTTATTCTGTTAAATTATTGAAAAACGTTTAAATTTTTTGAAAATATTCAAAGAAATACTGTTAAATCAAGAAATCTGTGAAAACCAACATTCTACGTCAAGCTTGACCATTGTGTGGACGGCTTCCAATCTATTCGCCAGGGCCACACATTTCAAAATTGCTTCATCGTCATCACTACTAACCAGCCAACCACTACTTTTGTTGCTGCTGCTATTGCTACTGCTACTACAACCAGCAGCAGCACCACCACTACCACCATTATTACTACTACTATCGGTGGTGGTAGTAGTAGTGGTAGTATTAGTTTGAGTATTAGTAATTGTTGTGGTAGTAGTATTGTTGTTGTTGTCGTTATTGTTGTGGCAATCGTCATTGAAGTTCATTCTTTCACTCTTGTAGATAGTTTTCCTCAATCCCTGCACTCCTGATTTTAGCGGGGTTAATTTGAAGATTGGGAAGAAATGTGTTATATCCACGAACGGCTGGTACGTTGATATGTTTAAGGATGATAACAATAGTGACGGCGATGATGATGATGATGGTGATGTTGATGATGATGATGATGGTGATGTTGATGATGATGGGAAGGATGATGGTGATAAAAATGATGAACTTTGTGACGATGATGACGATGAAGAAGACAGTGGTGATTTTTGAAAAGGCATATCTTTCGAAGACACTGATAACGTCGAAGATGGTGAAGATGATGAAGATGTTGAAGATGATGATGATGTAGATGATGAAAACGTCAAAGATGGTGAAGACGAAGATGAAGATGATGAGGAAAATGATGAGAAAGATGACGACGGATATGGAAAGAACGATGATGAAAATGATGGTGACGTAGATGATAGCAGAAATGGAGTTTGGCGATTTTTCCTTCTGCTGATGAGCAGACGAATATCTGGCTCGGGATATCCCGAAAAGGATGTGCAAGTGATGATAGTCGGTATCTTATCGGTTAAACGAATAATGTAGTTGCGGTTGTCGGTAGCAGTTTCGCGGTAAATGTTGTTCTTGCTGAAAACGTTGTGATTGATGTTTTTGGCATTGTAGTTGATGTTATTGGCGTTGTAGTTGATGTTATTGACGTTATGATTCATGTTATTGATGTTGTTGTTGATGTCAATGTTGTTTTTGTTGATGTGCCACTGACTGTTTACAGTTTCGGCACCGCTTGTGAATTTTTCATTGTAGATGAGATTGTTATGATTCTGGTTGCTGGCACATTTTGCGACGTGCAAATATAAACTTCCTACAGAACCTTTGTAACGTTGAAAAAGGAAAAAATTATCGTGAATAATATTTCAAAATCAATGTATAGATTTTTTTAATCTAAATTCCACAAACAAACAAGGAAGGACTCACCCATCTATCACACATTAAACAACACACACACACACAAACACACACGCACACAAACACACACTCACACAAACACACACGCTCACACACACGCAAACACGCATCCATCCATCATTTATTAAAACTGTTCCTATTTAGGCACGTCTGCCCACGCATACACTCTCAGTTTTTCCACACACACACACACACACACACACGCACGCACGCACACACCACACTACACACACACGCACACACACACGCATTTCAAGCACTTTTTCAATCATAAATTTTGTCCATATTTTATTCAAATATTTTTATCCATCTGCTCCTGTTTTACCAGTCGCTCTTCACATGTGCCTGCTTCCATGTGATTGTGAAGGAAGGATAGGTTATCCATCTATATTTCCATTCATGCCCCAGGGATTTTTAACAATTCACTTTCTTGTACATCCATTAATCATTGATTTACAGTTCATTCACATATTTCAGAAATCCATGCATCTATCCATTCACTGGTTCACATTTATTTATCCAATCATTTACTTTTTATTCACATTTCTCGTGAATCCATGCATCTATCCATTCAATCTTTTCACATACATTTACTCATTCATTCACTAGTTCATTCACAGTTCTCAAGAATCCATGCACCCATTCACACTTACAACATTATTTTATACACACATTCACTTTTCCATTCCTAGATTCATGCATTTGTTTTCAATTCTCCTATACCAGATATTCATTTATTTATGAATTCATCCATTCTGTGTAAATGGATTGGGCACACACTTGTTCGTCTTTTGTATCTATCAAATTTTATATTTTACAATCTAACCACATATCTCTTCACTCATACGTTATCTTCCTGGTCGTGTATTTATTCACTTTTTCCATCCATTCATTCAATCATTCATTCATTCAATCATTCAACCTCCATCCATCCATTATTTTCTTTATCCATTCATTCAATCATTCATCCATTTTCACAATCAATCATCAATCAACCAATCGATCGTAAGATCAATCAATCAATCAATCAACCAATCAAGTAATCAATCAATCAATCAAGTAATCAGTCAATCAACTAATCAATCAACTATGACTAGT